CCAGCGCCTACTACTTTACAAGGCGCAAGTTCGGCCCCATATGGAATACTGCGCGCATTTTTGGGCGGGGCACCTCATTACCACTTTCATCCTCTGGATCGCATTCAGCGACGAACTGTTTTCGAATCGTTGACTGTTCTGTTTTCTTGGACCGGTTGGACTCTTTGGCGCTACGTAAGGATGTAGCCTCGCTATGTGTCCTCTATCGCATATATGACGGGGAGTGTTCTGAGGAATTATTATTCTGTTTGATCCCCTCCGCAGCTTTTCGCCATCGTTCTACGCTAAAATGTTTTTCATCCCCATCACATAGATGGTTGGCACTCAACAACTATGGGATTTACGCGAAATTTTCTGCCCTGCACAGCCAAACTTTACAATGATCTTTCGGCAGCGGTATTTCCGAACCGATGTGACCTTTCAAATCTTTACAAAATTATAAAATATTTTTAAAAACGATTCGACGATTCGCCTTTTGGGACAAAAGTTGTAGAACATTTTATCCTCTATAATACTGACCATAAATACAAATCGTGCAAACGCCATAGGGAACGAGGTATTTGCAGAAAATGTAAAAAAAACGATTTTTGTGACCTTAATTTTTGACAGATGCGGACACCTTACAATATGTATTATGTCGGCAAGTTTAAGGATGTCCAAATTAAACTTTACACAAATGTAGAGCTTGGTATTTCAAATTCCGAGATTCTTACCTTATTTTGGCTAAGATAACTGGACTATAATTAAGCTTGAAAAAATTTGAAGACTTATTTTTATCAAAATCAAACACAATGTTGTTTCTAATAATGAAATGTAACAAAAGTAGTCGTCGACAATGTGTCGATGTGTAGCTATGACAGTGTATTTGTAGTGCAAGTTTGTTTACTGGATCTGTCGTGTGTAAGGTTGGCCGGTCCGGTCGTGTGCTACGTTTTGTGTCGTCGCCCTAATGTAACGGCCAACGTGTACCGCATACGGTTCGAATCCGGCTTTTATCACGCCATACGCGGCTTCTGTTGGGCATTTATAATTACTTTAAGAACAATTATACTTCTAGGGATTAAGTGTTGTTTAGTGTTTTCAGTAATTGGTAGCCGAATGAGTTTGGTAGTTTTTGGGGAATTTGATTAGAGAAAATAGGCTTTTATAAACTTGTGACATTAGCCCGTTTTCTTTATAACACAATTTGATGCGATCAATTACGAGTAAAAAGATAAACGAAGTTAAAAATGCGACTGAATGATATCGACGTATATCCATGTCAAACCCCAGTCACGTAAAAATACTATGAGACTTAATTGCATGTCTTTATTAAAGTAACAACATATATTAAAAAAGTCCTAGTAAGTGGTTCAAAATAATGCTACATGATACATGAGTATAGTTAGAAAGAGTCTTGTGAAATAATTAACAAGCAATCTCAAGAGTATATTACACGGGCAATCTCCCACCGTCGCTAATCCCACTCTAATTGGTGGTCAGATGGCTATTGGACTTGAAACGGCAAAGCCAATGCAATTACTGGGACAAAGGATTTACTCTATAATTATTATTTTATTTATCTACACAGGATTCTTGCTGTCTCAATTACATACTAATTTAATGATTCTACTTTATATAAAATAAACATTGAACTACAAATGAGGATAGTTCCACAAGAACATTCACAAACAACTCGTAAAAGAATCGTTGATATTGAAAATCAAACTCAAAACCACATTTCCCAACACAATATAATCTGAAGTAAAGTCATCTCCGACATGAAAGAAACACATCGAAATTCTTAAGGGGAAATATTACTTTGCAATCGCGAAATTCTTTGCTGAAACAACTCTTGGGAAGGTAACGTTCATTTCGACAAAAGACGAGCAATATTCCGTGCACAAAGGAAAGCACCCGATATATTCAATGCAGTGACACAAGAAATGGCGGCACAAAGCGGTAACAAAGCTCATATTGAGAGTTACACGGAGCGCGTCCGCCACTCCGGCCGCGGACACCCCGCTATATTTTACCCCTCACGTTTTATTAATAGCTGTATCGATGTCGTGCTTGTTCATTATCTTTTATTACTGATCTACCTACTCTGATTGACATGCTTTCCTCTTACCTATGACATTTAATTACCTTGTTATTATCTTAGTCTATCCTGTTCCAATGAAGCTTTCCTTTTATTTTTTCATATCTGTATACGATTGCGGTGGGTGACTTTTGAACACTTTATTTTAGAAAAATAACTTTAATTGGGTAAATTGCTTAAGTAAGGATAAATAAATGAAAGAAGAAGTTTAAAAAGTTAGTTACAAGCAAAGAGTGGTATGTTGCCCCAATAAAATATATTAAATTAGCCGAACCTATAATCTGTACATTAGTTTATGATGTGGATTTACAATGACGGGAATGGATGGAGTATTGGCACTGACATTGCCTAGTACTACATTTTGGAGATTTTTAGGGGTATCTGCATGATTTATTATTTCACCTAGTCCTTTCTACCATCATACTACGAGACAACCGAAAAACCTCATCGCTGCATAGTAGAAATCCAACCAACATACACGAAGCGGTTCGCTTCCAGTTTTATTATCAGAATCGCCAAGGGGTAAAATTCTTTTGAAGTCATCCCCGATAATCTGGGTTTCTTAACACATTAGCCGCCACGTAGTTTACCGGTGACCTACGGGGATATGCCTTTTCTGTCGGCATTCCAAAGCCCGAGTGAATAGGTTGATTATTATCATCATCATTATCATCGCTTTCCACCTGGCGTGGTTGCGGCCAAATGCTTGCCTATTACTTAATAAAAAAAAATATTCTAGATTCATTAATAAAAACTAAGCTGAATAGAAGCAAGATGTGCAAGAGATTCTATTTTTTTTAATTCTTATCCACAGCCAGATCTTCTAGGGATAAAGACTTAACTTCTAAAGTTTCCTGATTTTTTAAGTAAATTGAATATGGCCAGAAAATTTATCTTATTTTATTGTCCGCTCCATATCTGGTTCTTTACTAAAATTACATCCAAAGGTGCTCTAGATGAAATCACCATTGCGTGATAAAACCACCCATTGTACGCAGACTATTTAAACTATAACTAACTGAGGCTAAGAATTTTAAATATGTGTGCGGTAAAACATAAAATAAAAATAATATTTTAATTATATGAAGTTGACTATCTCTACTTTAAAGTGCCTTGACATATCGTTTAACATTCAACTTATTAATGTAACAAAGAATCTAAATGAAAAAACTATTTGAAAAAAAAAAGAAAAAAAAAACACTACTTTGGAATGAGCAAAACTACGCTTCTTCTACTAGCTTCACTACGAGACCTGACCGACAGACTGACACTTTTTCTTCTATCTTTAAGCTTAAAAATTAAAAAATGGCTTTTGACTTTTATACTTTTTTCAGCCCGGTTTGCGGGTCAAGCTCATTAATATTCCACGGCCTCAGCCTTGAGCAGAGAAGGAACGGGGGTGTTTTGAGTCAGTAGGAGTCTGACACTCCTTCAAGCTTCACCTAAGGTCATCCAAAAAAAGGTAATAAATAAATTGCCCCGATCAAAAAGAAAAACCATATCCATATTCTTTATGAAACTATAACTACTCATGACGTAAATGTTCGATCGATGTTCGATCGAGTCGAAGACTTCATTTTTGTCGTGACTTCAAGCGATTGATACAATGATAATGATGATCACAGAGATATTTCTTCGCGTTCCATCATCTTTAAAACAATAAAATTGTTGTGTTAATTCGGATAATAACAATTTATAGCAATGTTGCATAGTTTAAATTATTCTATTGTAACTTATTTGTAATGACACATTGCTGTTTACACCGTACTGTTATCAATTTTGTTTCGAGTTATAATTATAAAATTATCAATATTTTATTTATTTATTTATTGGTTCAAAACAATTGTTTAAACTGTTATTGTGCTGATAGTAACATCACATAAAATAGATTACAGTAGTGTAACTATCACTTACAGTCAAATTCCGCATAATTTAAGGGTAGCGATCTGAGAAACAAGCGGACCTTTTTAGTAAACTAATCTTAAATTATTATTGCAAACAATTTATTTAATAATTTCCATAAATATCTAAAACAGGTCGAGATGATATTCATAAATATTTGTTTTTAATTGTTTAATTGCTGCAGATCTTGTGAGATTTATTTAAAAAAATATCGGGTTGTAATAAATGATTTTAGGCTTAATCGCGTTTTCATTATTTACGATGTTTAGAAAGTCCGAGCAAAAATAGCAGCCCTGAATGAAATGTGGTGTTAACAAAATTAAAGATGTCATAGTTTAGACAAGTTTGTCAGGTAAGTCAACACAATTTATTTCTGGCAGAAGAAAGAATAGTTGCCTATTATTACACAAAAAGTGTCGTCTGGAACTCTTAACAGGAATGAAAATAGAACAACACTTTTCCTGAGACGAGTCATTTTCTCAGAAAATGGAATCGTCTCGCCCTTGTCACGAATCTTATACATAATTGATCAGTTCAATCTGTTGATAATATTTTTACTTGCTACTCAAACACTAATCAGTTCAACTTAGTTCACAGTTTGAGAAATAATTCAAGAGATTTACGCATGCGCCTATTTTACGCGCCACCCCTCGAAACCTTACGACCGCCTCTCCGTGCCCACATTACCTGGAATATGAACCCTCCGAACTTAAACATAAAGGCTCCTACTCCGCAGGCTCGTCATTTCACGAAAATTTTGAGGCTCCGTCATCTTCAGTTCTAAAGCCGTCATTATGTTCGCGTACGAAGAATTAGATTTTCGTGACGTATTCTCTCGAATTCTCACTCCATCGCCGGGAACGGTTTTCAGGGATGATGTTAAACAGAAATTGAACTTTATATTATAGGCACTAGGGTTGATATTTGCTATTAAGTGGTCTGAGTTGGAAGGATAACGTTTCGGAGTAAAGAGTACAGAGCTCAGTCGGCTGTGAGCCTTGGAGGTGAGTGCACTGAACACTCTGTCCGGATCCGCGCCGCGAGCGTAACTTAGTTCGTAACGCGGGAGAATGTAGGTTGCTTCGTATTCTTAACTTTATGAGTGATTTAATAAATGAATGCATATATATAATTTACTATTTCCATTAGAAAACGTTCCCATTATTTTAAAATAAGCCTCAAAAACAACATTAACGTGAATTTTTCATAATTACTCGGCTGCGGCCAATGTATATTGTTGGCGAATAATAGGAGTGAGTATTGATAAATTCGTTTGAATTGCAGAAATAATTTTCCTGGCTGAATTTTCAGACGGAATATTTCCCAATAAAGCAATAAATTACTGTGTACTGTTATGAGAACTGGTTTAACGAAAAAATTGGGATATTTTCATATTGATTAATGTCGGTTTGCGAAATAAAATTACCCCAGTCTGTAAATTAAATTAAATTGTGTTGCTGTATCTTGTAAATAAATAAGAGGGAATGTAAATCGTAGTTAGCGTGGCCGAGCGGCGGCGGCGCGCGGGGCGCTCGCCCGATCCTGGCATATTTGCTGTTTCGCCGACATTCCCCAGTTAATTAAAGCCCATTTGTACACTGTCTTGCGAAATATAATTTATGAAACGAGAAAACATTTTATTTAACCTTTAGGAAATATTTGGTTGTGCAAATATCCACGTTTATTAGTTAGAGATTGTTAATTGTCACATTATTTATAAGTCACTCTTGGGGATTTAATCTAAGAATTAGTAACGTATCTTCATACATTTTAATATGTTCATTAATTTTTATGATTGTCAGTTGTGTACAGCTAAGCACAGAAGGTATTGATAAACAAGTAGATGCCTCCACTCCACCTCCTTGTCGATTCCAAATAAGCCCGCCTCGATCCCAAGCTCCGCCTACCCGTAGAAGATAAATAAGTGCTTATGTAAACAGTTTTATGTACCCTCTTGTATACAGGTATATTGTCCTCCAGTGTACTTCAGAGGAAATGGTTATATAAGCCTCAATAAGACTGTGAACATACGTCTTGATATATGGCTTATGTACCACTAATTAGACACTTCTCGGTAGCTCTCAACATAGGTGCTTAGTACTACAACTTCGCGCTATTAAAGTATTTGTGTAAAATAGACTTTATGCTAAGTGCCAGTAAAATAATTATCTCGAAGAAAAATTTAGTTTCACAACTGAACTTTCGTTTCAGATGAACAATTTAACACGATAGCACTGTGAACAAAGTTTAAACAATAAATCTATAACGGATAAAAACGGACGCAATACGAAATGTCCATGCTGCGCTTGATTTTACAAAGTGAACAAACACAAAGGAGATAAATCTAGAACAGTTCTTGAACAGGACAATGTTAACAAACAAAATCAACAGAACGGGTGAAACTTTCACAGCTAAGAAGTCGAAACTGTGTATACAATGTCGGTGGCGAGCACCGAGCTCTAACAAGCCGGCCATCCGAACTTGTTAAACGTGGCCGGGGAGTAATTCACCGAAGCGGTCACTAACTGAACACTCAGACAGTTCGGGAACGTCCGCGGCTGTGTGTGGCAAGGCTAAGAGCACAGATTTGTTTCTGCATGGCAGACCACAGTGTTGCTGGCGCGCGGAGAATGGGCCGCGGATGATGGACTCACATTCGCTAGGCCGGAGTCGGCAGACTCCCGCCGCCAGAAACCACATTGTTTACACCGACCATAAAGGACGAAAGTGAGTACAATCTTTTTACATTTTCTTGTTTCTTTTTTACATGCTTTGGTCTTTGCCGTCGTAAAATGTGATCGAAACATTATTTTAGGGCAGATTTACGGTGGAAAGTATTGTAAAACATTTTAGTGACTCATTTGTTATATTGACTTTATTTAAAGTATATAAAATGACAGGGAGCCGTAAAAATGTATGTGCTATTAGTTAACCAGATTTTTTTATTCCCATTCGATTATAATACATATAATAACAAAAACATATTATTTAGTTCATTCTATTATTTAAAGTTAAAAAAGATGTTTGTTATGATAAAAATTATATACTTTTATCTATGATCTAACCACGCTTAATTTTGAATATTAGACAAGTAGGTCTACTGTAGGTCTACTAGTCTGTCATTTTGTAGAGCTTGCGATGCTCAAGTTAAAAAAAAAATAGGGTTGCGCAAACTTTTGCCATTCTAAAAACATAGAAACGGCACAGTATCAATTAATTCACTGAAAAGTTTTCCTAAATGTCCCACTGACTAAATAGAATAATCTAAAATCTACTTTGAATTGCTTTGATTTTGTTTTCGAATAGATTGTGTTCATTAGGAGCTCTAGGAAAGTTTCGTTGCCTTACAATTAGCTAACTTTGTAATATTCTGGAAATTAGGCTTCGAGCGAGGAAGCTGCGGCTCTATATCCATTTTCTTTTACTTCGTGAATGAAGTAGTGTAGCTTCTTGATGAATAAGATCTTGTAACTAGCTGCTAGTTAATGTTATAAGTTTTTTATACTATATGGTAGACGGATTACGTGATGGTAAGCAATCTGCGGCGCCAGTTAACACTCGTTATACCAAAGAAGTTATTGGCGGCTTTTTGTGGGTTATTAGGGATTTGATGATTCAGGATAGAGAGGGTTGGTCCTTACTCATAGGCCGAAACACAAAACATAAGTGTTGTTTCACGCCAGCATTCTGCGAGGTCGTGGTATCACTCCGGTTGAACCGGCCCATTTGTTGAACTATAGCTCAAACATTTGTGGCATTTGTTTTAAAGGCAAAACGTCTTCGTGGCTTACACTCGAAGATGCGCGAAATTAATTTGTGACATGCATTCTTTAAGTAAGAAAGTTTATTTATTAATTCATTAATAAGAGTATCAAATCTAAAGTGTTTGTTGTTTTTACTAAATTCTAACTAGGTACGGTAGCTAGTGGTTGTTAGCTCTTTTGATACGATGCTTATTATACGAATTTTACAATAATTTTAATTCTTCTTACCTTTTGAAGTGGTTAGGGTAATAAGAGTTCATAGGAACTGCTTACTTGATTGCTAGATTTCCAAAATGAGACATTTTAACTCAACATTATTTTGCTCTAATTTTGAATTGAAATTCATTTTTTTTAAATAAGGCAATATGTTTTATATATTTAAATACATTCTGTGGAAAACCTGCATATACTTTTCTATAGATTTAACAAAAAAAGTTGAGCACCAATTAAAATTATTAGATGGTAACGCTTATCGCAAAAAGTTATTACAAAAAAAAACAACAACGCGAAACAGTAAATAAATCAAGTCCGAACCATTTTTTATTGGTGACAATTAATAAATGGGACGATATTACTTTATTGGGCGTTTGGCTTGCGGTGAAATAATAACTACCGCCGTCGGTTGCGACTGGGAACGTTTAACCCAAACAAATGAGTGCTATTATTTCTCTCAATTTAGTCTAACAAGCAACTTAGAGTCAAAGGTTCGACGAAGCGGCGAACTCAATGGCCGTGAATTTTGTAATCTTCATTAATTTCAACTGAAACTTTACTTTCCCTTCCTACTTGTTCCCGCTAATTTAGCATTCACAGGAACAAAATTTTTCTTTTAAATATTGTGCCATGTTTATCGTTTCATTATCACCGTCATTTTTATTCAGCGCACGAAGTTATAACTTTGCGTGAATGTGCGAATTATGTTTATAGAGTAATAATTTTGTGCTCGGACGTACAAATTGTAACATCAACTTAGATGATAAGTGTTATAAAAAGCAAAGTATGAATAAGTATAAACACCTCATTTTACTTACCTTTAAATATTAACTGGGTAATATATAAAAGTTGTAATGAAAGAAAATTTCATATAAATTAAACTGTAGGAAGTTTGGAATTGCGGTCGGTTAGGAAACAGGATCAAGTGGAAACATTGAAATTCCCTACTTCTGGTTCTGACGTCACACTTGTATTACTACTTCCTCATTGTCTTTTATAACACGGTCTGTATGACTTTTCCAACTAATTTGCGGCATATAGAGTAACTTTATAGTATAACAAGCATACAGCAATCATGCAATAAAATTTCGTAATTATTTATTTTATTGTATTGTACTTTTTTTACAAAATGGTCAATACAAGGTTTCTCTAGCTCAATTAATCGAAGAGGTATCAATTATACCTGTAATTTCGCTTTTCACTAATTACCCTTTGACTTCTTTTAAACTACTAAGACTGTGGTTTTTGCTTTCAAAATGCTATAAAAATATATTTATTAACAGTTAATGTAATACATACAAAGGCTGATTTCATGCCAAGAGCCACTCTCTTGCAATCAACTGTAAAGATTTAACATTTTTTTCTCCTTCTTTCCCATTATTATCAAACGTTTTGTGATGACACTAATCGTATTTTTTCTTTAACTTTTTTTTGCGGTGATAGCAGAGTAAGAGTTATTAACACTCCCTGTGTTAATAACTCTTACTGTCTAAAAATCACTCCGTTCCTTCTTCTACTCTGGGCTGTGACCGTTGCTATGATTGTGCATCTACGTGCCGCCTGCTTCCTAACCATTCTTAAGTCATTGTATTAAAATCTACTATTACTTTAATCTTTTGGGAATTTTAGGCGTAATTAAACCGAGTAGAAATCGTTAAGGAATATATGTATTTGATTTATCAAATGTTCACAATTTTATACAAAATAGAGATCTTGGTTGTTTTTTACAATAACCAATAGTAACGGATCGATAAATCCCATCATCTATAGTTCGTTCCATAATTAGAGACAACGATTTGACATTTCGAGTGTTGCATGTTTTTTCCATTTCATAAATAGTGAAGTCCCGCGACCGGTATTGACCGAAAGACCGAAATTAAATTCTGGACTTCGTGCATTTTAAAAGCTTTATTATTTTTAGCTACTTTCCCTGGTACCTTCCTGTGCCCATACTAACTCATTCGGGTTAAAATCATAATGGTAAGGAGGCAACCGTAAAATAGTGACCCACCTTTTAGCAGATATCAGTCCACGACGTATCGTTCATAATTACTCTTCTATTTCCGGGAAATCTCCAACATCTCGGCTTTCAGCATAGGTTCCTCAAATCTAATGTTTTTCTTTTAGACAGTCTTGGATTTCATATTTTTATTTTAAATTATTATTATTATTAATTCCACTAAACTATAAAAATATCACGGCAACTTTGTTTTATTTTGCTCAGGGTATTATATAAAAAAACGGTATCGGTATTTTATTTAAAACATCGTACTCGGGCCCATCACTATGTCAAAAAATCTGGCCACATTATTTTGTAGTTTGACATTTGCTGTTGTCAAATTGTTGTCTCTAATTATGGAACGAACTATAATGTATTAGTTTTATTTTATTTTTTTTATTAATTTTTATTAATTTTATTTTTATTAAAATACTAATTTGAGCGAATTGGTTTTTTAATAATTGAGAATCGTGATTGAACTGAGGAAAGCTATACTAGTTTTGGTGGCAACGTCGTCAAGACGCTCACGCTGCTCAAGAATGAGTCCCGTTGTAAAACTATTTGGGGTTTTCTTAGTTAATTCACGTGAGTAAGTCGTCATCTTACTAATATTATAAATGCGAAAGTTAAGATGTTTGGATGTCTGGACGTCAAACCGGCCGAACGGATCTGCATTAAATTTGGCACAGGCATAAGATACTCTCCGGAATAGCACATAGGCTAGCCGCGGATGGAAGCTAGTTTTTTAAATAAAAGTATGTATCCCGATAAATTCTAATAAAACACTTTATAAATATTTCTGAAATATAGTGCACCTAATTATATGTAGTTCGATGTATAAATTGTATTTTAATTAGATAGTTATATGCATTATAGCAATATCAATAACTCAGCTGAATTTGTTTGATACAGCGCGTTGTTTGAAATACAAATTTAGTTGTTAATAATTATACGTATTTGTATAGCTACTAATTAAATATATATTATTCAGTCCTCCTCCTCGCGTCGGTTTCCTCAGTGCTGAGGGTCGTGACCACCTCGTGGAAGCAGTGTACTGCGTATTACTCTCCGCCATCTATTTCTATCTGCCGCCGAGTGGAGAGCATCGTGGACTGTAGTGTTGAGAGTGGTGCGAATCTGATCCGTCCAGCGTATCGGACTTCTGCCTCTAGGTCTCTTTCCTTCCACCTTACCAGTGATTAGTAACTTTTCCAAGTTATCATTACCCCTTCTGGCAGTGTGTCCAAAAAACTCCAGAATCCTGCGGAGGCATATGGAAGAGAGCCTTGTCTGGATCTTAAGCTCCTGGAGGATCGATACATTGGTGCGGTGTGCCGTCCAAGGAATCCCTAGCATTTTTCGCCAACACCACATCTCGAAGGCATCAATGCGGTCACGATCGGCTTTCTTCAGGGTCCACGTCTCTGCGCCATACAAAAATATGGAGAACACCACTGTGCGCACAAGATTGCTCTTTGTTTTTAACGAGATGTTCTTGTCCTTCCATACTTTTTGAAGCTGTGCCATGGCTCCTTTTGCCATCCCAATTCTTCTTCGTATCTCTGATTCGCAAGAGCCATTGTTGCTAATGCCTGAGCCCAGGTATATAAAGCTGTCAACTACTTCCAGATCAAGTGTCCCAGTGAGCTCAAGCTTGCCTGAGCGATCTACAACCATGATCTTCGTTTTGGATCTGTTTATCGAGAGTCCCAGTTCTCCGCTGATGCGCTCCATTCTATTCAATAAGGCGA